TCAAATATGATTGTTTTTTTTTTTATGTGACCTTCTCTCTTACAGTGATAATATTTGAAACTACCAATAAATAATGATCCGTATTTAGATTTATCGTGCCTACTAAATTCTTTAATCTAACTCATTTCCATGTCTTAAATGACAAGAGCTTAGGTGTATCTCTTATCATCGTGCATCATCTTATTTTTTAATTGAACAAGTTATCTTTCACTATAAATAGTAACAAAACATCATTTAGAATTACCATGTATTGCAACCAAAGCTTTCCAACAATAATAATGCTTACAAATCATCATCTAGTACTATTTTCATAGTTATCAACTCGATTAATAAAATCCTAAAAATAACCTAAGTATTCAATAGCAAACATTTCATATCTATATTTCAAATTCACAAGCTTTCCAATCAACAAAACTTTATTTCATATAGTCTTTATTTCATACATACTCTATGATTTTTTCTATTGTTCTTGGACATTTTTCTCTTTAGATACGTGATGAAACACATTATCATCCACCTAATATCCGATACCTCTAATAGCTTTTCTATGCTTCTTTTTTCAACAATCATCAATGTAGATAGTTGGTTTGGATTTACCTAATTCAATGATATCAAACAAAATATGGTAATCAAGCTTTATTTTGTGTAGCATTTATTTCGTACGTATGAATGTGTAAAATAAAAATTCACTATTTTTTAAAATACGTTAAATGAAAATTCATGTATAAATGCATGAAATGAAAACTCATAATTTTTTTTAAAAAAATATGAAATGAAAACCCATAACTTCCCTTATAACATGTAAAATAAAAACTCACGACTTCATTTATAATACATGAAATAAAAACCCACATATAAATGCAACATCAACATCATTGACTTATTTTAAAAATTCATTGGAAAAAAAACAAAAATGAAGTCGACAATAGCATCATAAAATCATTTTTCAAATATCATTTTCAACAAACAAAAAACAAATCAATAACGAGTATCATAAATCATAAAACCTCTACTTAAATTATAAGTGGAAAGCAAATCGTCATTCGATATCAAAAATCATAAAATCACCACTCAAATCATAAGTGGAAAAAGAAACAAAAATAGTTTTATAAATTTTTTTATGCCAAAGAAAAAGTCAAGCCAAGAATGGTAATATAGATTATTTCTCATAATTTGTTCGGTAACAAAGCAAAATTCAACATAAAAAATAACGACACAAATTATATTTCATAGATCGTTCATCACCGAACAAAAAACAAGCCAACGATAGCAATATGAAAATCATTTTCAAATATCATGGTTAATAAACAAAAATCAAATTGATAACAGAGTCATAAATTATTTTTTTATAAATCATTTATCAAAAAATAAAAAACATACTAACAACGATGTCACTAGTTATTTAACATGAATCGTTAACCGATGAATGGAAATCAAGCCAATAACATCATCGTAAGTCAATTCATAACTCGAATCACACCCAAACAATCACATAAACAAAGTCATACAGGGATTGACACTCATCTCAAACGATCTTTAAAATTAAATCCTAATTTTATTCTTCTAACTCCATTGCGTAATATTGAATCAATTCTTATTTTACCTCAACATACTCGACAGTTTCAAACTCTTTGAGTTTGACATGCATCAAAATATTGTAATACTTCAAATTATTTTCATAACCAATCAAAATCACACAAAAAGTCAAAATAATTTTAAAATGATAAAAATAGTTAAAACTTACCTAGAAAGTCACTAAAAATGACTAAAATATCTCTAAATGATTGTTGAAAAAAATTCTAAAAATACCTATAGACAACTCGCTATAGTTACGAGAGTGCTCACGCACCATGAAAGTCACCGAATCGTTTGGCAACGGACATTCCATCTCTATATATCAAATTCACAAGCTTCTTAATGAAAAAAAAGTTTTATTCCATTCAATCTTTCTTTTATACATACTCTTTAATTTTTTTTCATAGTTCTTGAGCATTTGTCTCTTTAAATATGCCGATGAAACACATTATCGTTCATCTACTCTTTGATAGCTCCGATATATTTTTTATGCTCATTTTTTTCAAACATCATTAGTCTTGACAATTTATTTGGCTTTACCTAGTTCAATCGAATAAAAAAAAATCATTGTAATAACGTAAAACCCTCACTCTTAACTTCGAAATTGATAATTCGAAGTCGTTAGTTTGATTATGGTTCATGAATTTTTTTTATTATCTAATTTATACAAATATTCCAAATAAATCTCTAATACCACTATTGAGATTTAATCCCACCCCTTGTAAATATAGATTTGGTGAGAAAATAATTATCGAGTCAAACACATAAGCAATAATTAAGAGCACAAAATAAATCAATTATAAGAATACATCCATAAAAAAAACTAAATTTTCATGAAAAACTCTTTCTATCGCAAAGAAAAAAAAACTATGACCAATTTTGAAATAATCTACTATATTTAAAAAACAATATAATGACTTAAATTTACATGAGAACTTAAGAAATAAAGTATTAATTGAAAGTAATACAAATTATCTCTCCGATTAAATTTATCTCATAAAATTTAGAATTTTTAAAATTTTTATATTTTTGTAAAATCCAATATTACTTAAAATCATCATTTTGAGTATTATAATTTTTTATAACCGTAGTATATAAAAAATCAATTTTAGAGAGAAACTCAGTAATTTTGTCACAAAATCTTCGCTTTCTTTTATGTCGCGTCAATCGGCAAAATCAAAACAAAAACTTTTTTTCTTTTTCCCTACTGCTCTTCGGGACACCATAGACATGCAACAGATCTATCAATTCTTTTCTATATATGTCGGCCAGTAGAAAGACTCCAACGCCACTGACACGTGGTCCTTTAGTCCTTCATTTTCTTTCATCTGTTAGTTATATTCATTTTCCTATTTAATTTATTATTGAGTAATCTTAAGGTCCCTCATTGACTAGATCTATAATACACACTCAACAATATTTTATATCTATTGTCAAAATTAATATATTTTCCAAATTCATTGTAATGCATATAAAGTTTTGAATTATACAAAACATAATAATTGTATCATTATATCACATTAAATACACAATAAAATTTAAGTTAAAAGATACTCTCAAATTATTTCATTTCACTATAAAAAGCTATGAGATATATAATTATTAAATTATATGATATAGCTTCTAGTTTCCTATCAAACAATGTCCAAAACATTGTTATTTTGATTGTATGGGGATTATAAATGTCATTAAAGCTCCCTCCTTGATTAATTTTCAGATGAGCTAAGTTTTTAAAATGAAAAGTTTGTTATCATTTTTATTATAGAAAAAAATTAAGTCAATTCAAATACTTTTTCATTGAATCTATTTTATTATCCTTTAAAATTAAATTTAGTTGGAAAAAAAACGAAGAAAAATAGTAAATTTAGATTCTCAATTTTTTATAAAAAAAAAGTTTGTTTTTTTTTTTTTTAAGGAGAGATTCTCTTCGGGAACTAGTGGAGTAGTTATAATAAAATAAAGAAAATGCAACTACGACAATTATTACAAGGTAGGAAATTCACTCTCCTTTGTCACTTACGACGTCGACGTTCAGATAATGCTATCTCACATGTGATGATTACAAATGCTGTTGGCAAGGCATATCTGTTAATTGAACCATCTCGTGATAAATGACAATCATTTGTTAATAAAACGTGAAAGAAATGAGATTACAAATTTTGAGTTAATAAGGTCCCTATTCTATCCATTTTGTTTTAATAAGGTCTCTTAATTTTAAAATGTTTTAATCCAAATTTTTTATCATGTATCTGTTGACACTGTTATTCTTTATGTCCATCACACTAACTAACGAAGACATAATGCCATCGAATATGCATGTGTCTTAATTTTATTGTTAGGCGTGAGAGGTTTTATCAAACCCAATTTTGTTTTCTGTTTCTCTCTATTTAATTATTCCAAAAAATAATTATATTTTCTAAAATTCAAACACAATTAACATAATAAATAATTACAAATACTTTCGAACTTATTAATCGTACAAATTTTAGCTATAATCACTCTTTTAATTTATTTTTTATCCTTCTTACTCACTTATCACTCCTTGATCCTATTAAAAATTGAACAAACAATAGTTATACAACATATATTATAAAATAACTTTATAATAGATCCATAACCATAAAATTATTCTATTCAAAGCGTAATAAATAACACACCATTCATTCCATGGTAAGGAAAGTTGCAATGCATGTGAACTAGTTTTGTGTTTCGTTTAATCGAATATGAGGATTGAAAATAACAATTTTAATTATACCTTGTAAATAAAAATATATTTAAATTAGAATTATCATTGTGTTTGGTAAAAAAAAAAAAACAATTGTTTTAATTTTTTTTACCTAATAAACTAATTTATTTTAATTTCAAAAATATTTTTTATTTATCAATTAGGATCTTATTTTTAGAAGGGATGAAAAATCTAAATTTGAAGTTCGTTGGTCAAAACTCAAATCAACCATCACTTGGAAAAAATTGACGGACTTTTGAAGCAAGTACTCCATTAAAACATTTGAAAAACTCTGTGTACTAAAATCAGAAGGTAAAACATTGATATACTAATAATACTTGGCATAGGAGAAATTTTATAATAATCAAAGAGTGACTTATATTTTATAATGCTGTATAAATACCTAATGACATATATAATAATTATTTCATAAATTTATTTAAAAGAGAGATAGATATATAAAATCATATTTGAATCAATAAAAATAAAAAAAATTTATTTTATTTATTATTATTATTTTTTAATGTATTGATCTTTGTCTTGGGCTGGATTCACGAAGAAACTATTACACGTATTGTTAGTTATTTTAAAATTTCTCTTGGCATCCCCTCCTAACGTGTCCTCTTCCATATAAAACCCCTTCAAACTAATCAAACCTTTCACGTTTTAACAACTCAAAAGAAGAAAAGGAAAAGAAAAAATGTCACTCTGCTCTATCCTACTCTCTGTCTTCGTCATCCTGTCCTTCTCCACCATAGCATTTTCAGTGAGTTTCTCTCTTAAACTCCCATCACATCTAAATCTTTTTTCATCTTTTGATCACTGGCCGTAATACCAATCTTTGTTTTTTTTTTTTTTCTCTTGCAGGATGAAGACTGTGTCTACACGATGTATGTGAGAACAGGATCCATCATCAAAGGAGGCACGGACTCCGTCATAAGCGTGAAACTGTACGACTCTTATGGTTATGGCGTGAGGATCCCAGATCTTGAGAGATGGGGAGGTTTGATGGGGCCACGTCACAACTATTTCGAGAGGGGCAATTTGGACATTTTCAGCGGGAGGGGGCCGTGTTTGGATGCACCTGTATGTGCCTTGAACTTGACCTCTGATGGGTCAGGTTCAGGCCATGGGTGGTACGTTAACTACGTGGAGGTGACTACAACCGGGGTCCACGCGGCTTGTGCCCAAACACAGTTTACCATTGAGCAGTGGCTGGCTCTTGATACTTCCCCTTATCAGTTAAGTGCTTTTAGGAACTACTGTAATGGCGAACTTGATGTTAAGAAATCTGCTGGAAGTTCTTCTATGTAAGAGAGAGTTATTTTAAGGTTAGTTTTTGTGTGTGTGTATGGTACAGAGATCGATCACACTATGACGATCTGTGTTCATCATCTTTTGATGAGGAAAATAATTTGGACAAATGTTTTGTTCTTGATTCTGTGAGGAGATCTTGACTGCTTAACATTTTATCAGAAGTTTTCCAAAACATTGTCCTTCTGATTATATGAAGATTTATATATAATGCTGATGAAACTTGTTTCGAGATTAATCGTTATGATGGATCATGAAGATGATAATGGTTTTGGCTTTGAATATTGTTGAAGGGGCAACTAGTTAGAGTTAGATGCTGATCAGAATGAGTGAGTATTCTATAGAGGTTTTTTGTTGGTAAGATTGGATCTATGGAGTGGTCAGCTCAACTTGTCGTGGTATTCTTGAATGGTCATAATTTGGATATTAATGGGCCTTTATAGGCCAGAACAAAAGTACGTTATCGGACAGATGAAATCGTGATCTTATCTCATAGAAAAAGATTAGATACCCATGAAAGCTATTTCTTTGTGTCAAATAGATTGTTGGTTTTTCTTTTCCTTTCTTTTTTTCCCTATACACATTAAATAGATTGGTCGTCTTTAATTTTTATACAAATTTAAAATACTATTACTTATTATTATGTCATATTATTAATTTTTTATATTTTCAAAAAAAATTATAATTGAGTTTGGATATTTTTTTACAAAAATTATAAAATAGTAAGTGTATAATTTTAAAAATGGAAAGTTTGAAATTCAAATCCTATATGTTACCATTTTTCTTCCTTAAAAAGAAAACAGAGATCAATGCTTGACCATTTTTCCTTCTTAAAAAGAAAACCCAGATCAATACTTCCTTGACCATTTTTCCTTCTTAAAAAATGTAAAATATCAATACTTGGCCTCCGGTCCAACTGCCTGGTTTTCCTGCAGATTCAGAATATTGAGTGAATTATAAATTAGTCTTGTTAATTTTGCAAAATGATTAAATAGTCCCTCTAGTTTCAAAAAATAATTAATTAATCATTTGATTGATGTTAATTATGCTTAATTTAATATTATTTTAGTTAAAAAATATTTTCTTTTTTCATTAATCATTTCATATTTATTACTTTTTTTTCTATTTCTTAAAATAAATTGAAAAAGAATACAAAATGGATAAAAAGAACTAATTAATTAGTTTTTGAAATTAGAAAAACTTTTTAATTTATTTTGCAAACTAAAGGGACTAATTTATAATTTACTCCAAAAGATTTAATCCCCTAAGCGATAAGTTCTGTTCGATTCGGAGTTAAAAATTGGAGTTTTAAGGATATTATTTGTGATAAGATGTGAATTTAATTTTTATATCTTTATTCATTAAAAAAAATAAATAATATTAAAATAAAAAAAATTATATTTGAATCATTGGTGGTTACGTCAAAAAATAATTTTAAAATATTCAAAAATAAATAAATAGTAAATGTTTAGCGTAATAGTAGTTGCATAGTTAATTTTTTAAAAAATAAATGATTCAATATTTTTTTATAAATCATAACTATACTTAGTACGTTTAGAGTTTGCAGCATAAAAAAAAAAGCATTATAAAAAAAATATTAACTTGTAAGGAATATATTGAATTAATTTGAAGTTAATAAACTAAAATAAAAATTATTATAATTTTTTTTCCTTCTTAAATAATTTTTTTATTTATTTCTATACTATACATGGCTAGTCCTTGAATACGGGCCTCACACATAGAGCAACCATCTTTCTTTTATTTTTCACATTTGATTTTCAATTATTAATTAACTAATTTGATTTTTTTTCTAAAAAATTGAGATAAATTATTTGATCTAAAACGTGTATTTCAAAAAAATTATATATATATATACACACACACACACACACACACACACACACACCATGCTACTATAATTTAAAAATTATATAAATCTATTTTTTCAAAAAAAAAAAAATCATGTTCTAAAAATTTATTCTAGAATCCATATATAGAGAAAAATAAATCAAAATTTTCAGTAAATATAATTTTAAATTAATTGGATGAGATTTTTTTTTAACATGATAAATTAAAGTAGTAAAATTTAAATAATAAAAGTCATATAATTTAAAATATATGTTCAATCTAAATTATGAAAATATATAACATATATCTTTTTCTTGTGAGGTTGTGTGAAAAAAAAATAATAATCGATTTTTCATATCTCATTACAAAAAAATCAATAATAAAAAAAGTCATTGGAATAAATAGAGAAGAAAAAAAAGCCTAGCAAGGCTGTGCAAGCGAGCTTTGAAAAAACAAACAATCCATTCTTTTCTAAAATGAGAACTTGTCGTGCCTCTCTCCCTCCTCCTTTGTCTTCCTTTGTTTCTCTCTTTTGTTTTACATCGAGATATCAAATCACAATATAAATAAAGTTTGAAGTCAAAATAAAAATATATAAAAAAAATTAAAGATCAAAGTATAATATTTCTAAAAGCATGAAAGGTTGCCTATCAAATGTCTTAAAATGTCTTGAAAATTATAATAATGTCATGAATAATGATTTGAAAGCATACAATTTTATAAATAGTAAAAACCCATTTTGTTTTAGTGTTTTTTTTGTTAATAGATAAGTTTTATAACATTTTCTGAATAGAAAATGAAAATTTTCACATCATCCTTTCTTGGTGTCATTTTGCAGAATCTTAAAAGTAGCTTCAATATCATACATCCTTTCAAAAAAAAATTCCACACAAGCATGCAACTATACATAAAAACTAAGTCCTTTTACATGATATTCTAAATCATGATGCTCGGTCAGTGCAATTTCGTCCCTAAATTAAAGCAGTATCTGTCTCTAATTTCAATCTTGTGTGTTCCATCTCCTGTCTTAGTGTCAAGGCTAGCCATAACAAGCCTATCGTTTTCGGTTCTTGGCCTCATCGGTTCTGATAACGGCTCTGGTGATTTCTTTCTACGTTCCACTACTTGGTCTCTAGCTTCAAGCTGCAGCATCTAGTCCTCTCTGCTTCTTGAGCTGTGCCTTGGCCTCCATCAAGGCCCTGCCCACTTCTTCATCCTCAGGGGCTTCATTTTGCAACATCTCATAGTCTTTGATTGAAGCTTCCCATTTTTCCAACTATTCCAGTGAAGCAAACATTAGACATTATCAAACCAAATTTGGCTATATCTAAATTGCTATAGAAAATAAAAGCAACTAAAATGCAGTATCGTCACATGACGAAACATGCCATATAAGCTAAATTATATCTTGGTTCAATATTATCACCTTAGCATGGCAATCAGCTCTTCTGAGTCTGGCCTTGGCGTAACCTGGTCGCATGGTAAGGGCAGCATTGCAATCCTCCACTGCTTTTTCGAACTGGCCAAGCTTGGACCGGCAGGCAGCTCGATTGCATAACAACACCGAGTTGTAGGGATCATGCTCAAGTCCCTCACTATATGCATTACATGCCTCATGAAATTTTCCTGCCTTAAAAAGCTGATTACCGTGTGATCGAGCTGCAGCTACAGCTTTAGCCTTTCTCAACACCGTATTTGCTTCCTTGTTGTTAGAATCAAGCCTAGTTGCTCGTTGCGCCATGGACAAAGCATCATCAAATCTGTTAATCAGTAGGTTAAAAGCTTTATCAGCTCGATTAACAATAAGGACGATTAACCGGTGTCTTCCTTCAATTATATTGGACTAAATAAATTTATTAGCTAATTATTATGTTGTCAGATTAAAAGCTGGCATTAAGTATTTCAATTAGACAGGTTCAAGCATAATCAAATATATGGTTTGGCTCAAACGTGAACCCCATTAATAGTAGTCAACAATAAAAACCTGTAAAGTTCTTTATGTGAGGAGTATTCAACATATCATTAACAATCTATAAGAAGATTCTCCAAAAAAGGAAAAAAAAAACTTGAAGGAGATGAAACATTTAAAATTTAAATCCTTCTTTGGTGAATAAAAAAACAGTTTTCACCGCCTAATTATGGTGAGGAAGTACTAGTCATTGCATTGGGTGATAGGGTAGAGCTGAGGGAAAAAAATGCACTCTTATTGTTTAAAAAACTAAAAAAAGAATCCTGCTTTTACCATAAAAGCTTAGGTGCAAAATCAAAGCATTTAACCCCGACAATCATTTGGGAATATTGGAGCAAGTTGATGAATGGTGGGTAAGTGGTCTTTTCCTTGACTTTGTTTATCTTTTGGTTCCACTTTTTATCAACAAAAATATGCCTTTTGAGTTGTTTACCAATACCAGGTTACAGTCATTCCTCTCTTTTAATTATTTATGAGCCTATGCAATAATTTGCTACAGCTCTCATGCAAATTGTCACCTCTAATGCGATTCCAATAATGTGACTGTGTAGTACAGAGTACAGAGCACTAACCTGCCAATAGCCATGTCAACCTGGGCTCGTACCGTTAACAAATTTGCATTTCCAGTTGGACCAAAAAATTTTGTACAGGCATCCACATCAAAATTTGGACCCTTTATCAATGCTTCATCTGCTTCCTGGTGCCTGCGAAGCTTTATCAAGGCCTCAGCTTGCAATGCATATATCTACATTAGACACAAAACTAGTTTAGCAGAGCAAGGCAGTATTTGATGTAAAGGGGTTAAAATGTGTTAAATGATAACTAGGTGACTAACTTGCGGTGCTGAATCTGCACCAGCAGATATGGTAGCCGCAGTCTCCTTGATCAAGCTGTTCCAATCTCGGTGTTTACGAGCATCGGTGCACTTGTTGAGATGGGCTTGAAGAGCTTTAGCTTTTGAAATGTCAACATGATCAGCTTCTGGCCCAGCACGTTTGTAGTGATATATAGCATTTTCTGCCTCGCCTAATCTATGAACACATCAAAATTTCACCAAGGAAAAGAAGAAACACCGTTTAAAGTTAACGTGGCACTAAATTGTATTACAGTCTCTGGGAAATTAATTGCAATTTTTATACCTGAGATGCAAGTTTGCTAAACGATGATGAGCTCTATGATAATGGGGTTCAATTCGAATGGCTTCTCTGCACTCGAAAACTGCCTCGAGAAGTTTACCTAGAGCTGTTAATGCCGCACTTCTGTTGCTCCGATAAGAAGCCCTGCTAGGATCAATCGAGATTGCTGCATCATACAAAGCCAATGCCTCTGCAAAATTTCCATTCTTGTAATCTTCATTTCCCATAATTTTAAGTTGCTCAGGGTCCATTCTAGTCGAGAGAGCCCTGCATAAAGAACCAGCAGCAGGCTCCGCAGCTACATTTGGTTTCTCTTCATTCTGTCTCTTCACTACATTTCCCATCACACTAGTAGGGTATTTTCCATTAGGGGTTACAACCTCTTCTCTTGCGGTCTTAGGAAGGTAATCAAGAACATTATGAGAAGTCGTGTTTCCTCCACCTCCTCCTTGCCTCAAGTTACCTAAATTGCCAAGAAGCATCACATTGCTTGATGAAGCACGAACAAGCGTGCTGCTTCCTTTAGATTTTTGGTGATCAGAGATATAGCTTTCAAGCTCACCTGAAAGACCAACTGCCTCCTTGGGAACCCTCCTACCTTGATTAACATAAGCATTTTGATTACCATAACTTTGATTTTGATTAGCATGACCTTGATCAGATGATATTTTGGTTGCTTCCTCAGGAAGTTTTCTACCGTAGTTTTGGTTCTGTGTAGGAGGGATCTTGGGATGCATAGGAGCCTTTGTGATAGATTTTTGATGCCCTTCTGCTGCACTAGACAAATTGTCTAGAAATGCAGCCTCATCTGAGCCACTCCTTCGCCTCTTTGGTGTGCTAGGTGTTTTCGTGAAAGTGGCTGCATTCATTGTAGTAATTGAACCTGTAGATGTTGATCTTCTTGGCCAAAAACCTCTTCGACCGAAAACTACTGAAAATAAGCCACATCCTGCAGGTTTCTTTTCGGGGGAAAGGTCTTCCATATTCTGTTCTGACCTTTGAGCCTTTCTCCTCAAGTCTTACAGACAATGCAGCTCTTATGGTAGAAAAGAATGGCACATTTTCAAACCCACAAAGACACAGAACATTGGAAGCTATTTAACTATGAAAACAATAACGAAACATTATTGATGGATGAACACACATATCCATCATAAATGAGAGATTCAAAAGATATATAAATATATATATGTCGTGGACTTTGCCAGTCAGAAAGATTGAACCCGGCTTAAAGCTAGGGAAAAATGGGGGAGAAAAGAAAAGAGAACGAACTTGGGGTTTGAAAATAGGCTAGCTCCAGGAGATGAATTGTAAGGGCTCCTGAAGTGGCTGCCAGGACATAGAATCTCTTTGTTTTCTCTCTCTTTCTGTTAGAGACAAGACACGAAATGGCATGATGAATGTGGGGGAAAAAAAAAAACTAGTAAATTTTACCAAAAAGAGCACAATAATGTACAGTTTGTTTAGTTTTATTGTTAAATTTTTAAAGTTGAAAGTTGGCCTTAGATTTTTCAATTTTTCGTTTCTCTTTTGTTTTGTGTTCCTTGTGTGGTGGAAAAAGGGGAACCAAGAGACCCGGTCTTTTACGAAACGTAGATCTCTAGATTTTTAGCAAAGAAAGGAGTTGTTCCTAATCTTTCCCCCCACATTTGGGCGTGGCATGGGGTCTCCTCTCGTGTAGTTACGACATATAAGTATATAAAAAAAAACGGCTTACTATTTCCAAATGAATAATTGTTAGAACCCCATCATTGAATGGTTGTAACAGGTCAATTTTGGAATGGTTGTCAATCTCTGAAATTTTACCCCTTAGCAACTGTTCTTTTATGCCCTTGCTGACATGGTGTTGTCCGGTTAGATTTATCCAGCTCTCCAAGAGCATTGCATCCGGATAGCAGGAGTCAATGAGCAAGCATAGGCACATTGTAAATATGCCCTTTGTAAATTAACATGACTTCACCCAAATTATTGTATTGTTATCTGTGCCTAGGCAATTTCTCCTGCGTCTTAGGTGTAAGTAAAACCAAAAGTGTCAATCGTTGCTTCAATACATTGTAAATGTGTTTGCCCACACAGCCTACATAAAAGAACCACTTCTTTGGCGTAAGGTGTAAAATGAACAATAAAATAGTTTCCCAAGTACTTTTTATCTTTCTCGTTTTTAGAGCCAACGAATGGAATGCATGTTAGAGGTGGGCACGTTGGCATATTGGAAGGTTTGAGCATTGCACGTATGAGAGAAGCTGCATTTTATAAACCAATCTTCTTCTTCTACTACTACTACTACCATAAGTAATATGGAAGTTCCTTCCTTGCAGAATCCTTATCGGTGGTATTAATGGAACACTAGTTCGGAAATGGCAAAGTGGTCGACCAACATAGATACTATTTTGATTTTTTTTTTGGTTCACTTTCATACACTGTGGTAGACCAAAATAAAGATTGCAGGTTGAGTGGAGGTGTCCGAAAATAGTACTCCATGTCTCAAAAAGATTGTCCCTTTCTATTTATATCTATCTAAATAAAAAATTTAAATAATATACCTTTTTTTAAAATACCCCTAATTCATAAAAAAAAAAATCAATTCTTTCTTCCATTTTTTATTTTTCTCTAATAAAAAATTAACATTCTTTATATTTTTTTTATTATACATACAAATACCGTTAACATAAAAATTTTTTTAAAAAAATGGTTACATAAAAAAATATTCATTTTTGTAGAGACATTATTACAAGCTGAAATTTTGAGAGTAGTCGTGTTTTTTTAATTAATGATTTTTTAACTTACTATTTAATTATAGATAGATTTTTTCATGGCATGGGTTAAAATTTGAATTTTTTTTCGACGGTGTCGGGTTTGAAAAGATTTCGAACTGTGGAGCCAACTTTCCTTCAAGATTAGTGTTGGTATTTTAGCTTTATGTGAAATTACTGGAAAGTCCCCGCGCTAACGGTAAATTTAATGATTGTGACCTATAACTATTAATTACAGCATTAGGATTTATATTATTTTTTTAACTCTTCATATCAAATTGTATATAAGATGCTTAATTCTGTATTTACACGTAGATACAATATTATATGGGATAAAATATATTTGGTATATATTACAAACATATATTTTGCTATTATAACACTTTTGAGATTTTTATAAATAAATTTATATTATATTTATTTTTCTTTTCTTTCCTCTTATTTCAGTATTTCTTATCTTGAATTGAAAATTCGTCCCCAACGTGTTTAATGGTCAAGTTGTTAGGTAAATTATTTTTTGCTTATCAAGTTATTAGATGACATATCATTTACTAGTAAGTTATTATAAAATTATACTACTTTGAGATTTCAAAATTCTTTTAAATAAGTTGTATTGCCTTTTTTTATTCTTTATTCAACTAAAAAATATTTGATGATCACGTCATCAATTGAATTACTTTTTCTAGTTAAGTTGTTAGACAATGTATTTTTTATTGATCAGGTTGTTATTGATTTATCTTCTACTCATCAAATTGTTAAGTGAATAAACAACCGATATTCTAATAGTTAGGTTGTTTAAGCATCAAATATGAAAAAAAAAAATTAATTTCAATTTCAAATATGTTTTTATTATTTTTTTTTTTGACCTTTTTTGTGATGTGAGGTGTAATAGTATAAGGCTCATTGCTTTGGGTTTCTTAATGTATTTGTTGACCAAAAGCATGCCCATCCATTCTAATTTATTGAAGCAGATTAAATAAAAGAGAAATATTCGACAACATTCGAACAATGAAAGTCCAGCTCAATGTATGGCCCAATAAAAATTAGAATCAAGTTGGGCGACCATGAAATGCGAATAAAGTGCGGCCTTATGAGGCAATTTGTCCCCCACCAAGCGTATAAATTTTAAATTTAAAACTATATAAATCTTACATTGTTTTGGATTTTCTAATTTAACTAAGGCCCAATTTTTATCCAAACAACTTTCAAGTGCTCTTGACAAATGACGAATAAGAACTCATAAGTTTGATTTGTATGCAAATGTCATGCTAATGTTTTGCATTTTGTTTTTTGTTTTGGGTCAAATCATTGAGATGGTTTCTCACCATTATTAACTAGATAAAAGGGGCAAACAACTTTAGTCTATGTTAAAATAAGTCTTTAGACTTTTAATTTGTATTTTCACCTTCCTTTTTTTTTTAGATTTAGTTCATCATTTAGTTTTTTTTAAAAAAAAAAACTTATTTCAGAAATAAAATTACATAAATAAGTTCATGATGAAAATCATTCAATGAGATTTATAATCTTTGATTATCCGTAAGCAACAAATAATTAGCATAGCATTTATGATTTAACTTAATAAAAATAAACGATGACTCAATATACAATTGCTTTAATTTGTTAATATCCTAAAACACGATTTTCAATTAATATTTTCAAACAACTAAATTTTAATTAACTTGCTAAAATTATTTAAATTTGAATTAATAAATGATTATTTAGAAAAAACACGTGTCGTGAAAACAACAAAGACCTTATCGGAATTGAAGAGTAGGTGAGATATCTAAAAAAGGAGAAAAAACCCTATCTTTGTATAGAATTATTTATAAATTGATACATTGATATTGTTTTTTAAAATAATAAAACCCATAAATTTTTTTCTTCTTTTGATAATTATTGAGTTATTTAGTGTTTTCGTGAAAACAGAGAGTACTTGTCATAAATACCACTCGACAAAATTTAAAGTAGTCGACAAAGAATTACAATCTACTTTTTTTCCTCTTCATCATCATAAGTAATCACAATTATCTTTCTTTTCTTATGTCCTTTCTTTTTCACCATTAACATGCTATTTTTCTTTATGATTTTAGTTTTTTAGTTTTTATGCATGTATGTTATTGATTGAAAGAATATTGATGCGATGTTAGATTTTTTTCCTTTATTGAAATTGCATTATTTCTATGTTGATTTGTTAAATTCATACGAATTAAAAAGGGTTAGGGAAAAGCAAAGATTAATGCTAGATTAAAAAGTTTTCTATTGACACTTTCAATGGCTTTTTCCTTTGAATCTCTATGAATTTTCCATTTATATTACTCTAGTTTTTTTTTTTTTTTTTTAAGTTATTAGTTCCACTATCTTTTAAGTTTCATTAATCTTTTATTTTAAAGATAAATATTTCGATATATAACTTAGTCCAATTTAATAAAGTTCGATAATGGATTTCTTAAGATCAATTTTGACCTTGAATTCAATTTTATTAAAAAAAAAAAAAAAGGACTCTTGGATCTAAAAAAGAGGAGTGATAGATGCTCATTTATTCTCATATTTTATTTTAAATATTTTATAATAAATATGCAAAAATTTTGATTTTATAACTTTTATATAAAAATAAAATCAGTAAAAGCCATAAAAAATAAGGGAAATATTTGACAACATTGGAGAATGAGAGCCGACCTTAACAAATGGCTAAGCTAGTTGATTCTAATCCAACAAAAATTCAAATCAAACAAGGCTATCACGTGAAAAAATAAAGACTTTTAAAAGGCAATTGTCCCCACTATGTGACAAATGGAATGTTTCAAATTTATTTATTTTAACACTCATGTTGAATTTCTAATAAAACTATAGATAAATTTTTATCCAAACAACTTCTAGATGCTCTTGAAATCAAGGACTTGAAATTTTGGTTTTGTATGCAAATGTCATGCTAATATTTTGCTTTGTTTCAAATCATAACATACTATCGATTTTTCACATGTGGATTCATATTCCTTCAAACATAATTAGCATTGCATTATGAGTTAATTTTGTAAATATAAACATCGATTTGTACAATTATTATAATATTGATTTAACTTAATAATATCTTACGACACAATGTCAATTAAAACTTTAAACAATTGAGTCTTTAATCAACTTATTGAAATAGCTAAGATTTGAGTCAATAAATGACATTTTATAAGAAATATATATCACATAAACAACGAAGATCTAACAAAAATCAAATA